GTGATACTGTCCTCAGCAGATTCAGTTCCAGCTGTCTGGGAATGAGACGCAGAGGCAGACAGAGTTCCTGGGGGTGCTGGCGGCCAGTCAGGTGGACGTGTCCACGCTGGAGGAGCCTCTCCAGACTCTGTGTCAGGACAGGTCCGTCCACTGGACCAGGAGGGCCGAGGGTGAGGACAAATGTTGTGCCATAGAGCTCTTGATTCAGTGGGATTGTGCTTTGGACTCAAACCAACAAATGCACCATTCACTCTTGTTTGACTGATGTTCACTTGCATTGTTGGTTTTGATCTTTTTATGGGATTTTCCTGACAATAAGAAGAATATAGAATAATTCCAGCCTCATTCTTGAAGTCCTAAACAAATAAAACAGATGTGGTTTTGCTTGACCACTGATTTTTTTAAATGATCTCATAGGAGTAGTAGAATTTCCTTTACCCAAAGTCAAAACCAGTCGGGCTGCAACTAACAATTATTTATCAATTACTCTTAACGATTCAGGAAATAGTGAAAAATGCCCAGAACCTAAGATGAACAAGTTCACCTCCAGTGAACTATCACTGATGACAAACAAAGCAGCAAATCCTCACATCTGAGAAGCTGAAACCAGATAGTGTTTTTACCTTAAAAAAATGACTGAAATGATTTATCGATCATCAAAACAGTTGCAGATTCTGCCGATTAACTGACTCAGAGGGAAAATGATGGTACAGACATTACGGCGATATATACTGTATGTTTTTACTGACATTTTGGATAAAAGTGTCAACTGACGATGCCGTTATCTTAAATAGTAGTTAAGTATGCATGCATTACAGACAGAAGAGGTCGGGATCCATTTATCAGCACCCACAGACACTGTATGAAGGGAGTGTTTAAATTTAGTCAGCTGGCAACCAAGGTGTCAGGCTGAAACCTGAGCCTAATGTACGACGACCAATGACCTTTCACTGACGCAGTAAATGACTCAATGTATTCTCAGCAGGCGACATGTGGCGCTGGCGACAGACTTTCCCCCATACAGAACACGTTTAATATCATACTGGCTGCTTTTAAACTGTAAAGGATGTCTTAATTGTAAATATGGCCAAAATATTGATCATTATGTAATAGGGATTTGGTGATTGTGGCGTCTCCACTATGATGGCCTGTTACCACAGTCAGGTAGTGACCGCTATATCTGTATCCTGTTATGGATTTTGTCATCTTTTTGTATGCCTCTGTGTTGTTTTCAGGCCCGGGCAAACAGAGGCTGGTCTATTTCTGCATCGACATCTGCTTTCCCAGCAACATCTGCGTGTCCGTGTGCTTCTACTACCTGCCAGAGTGACTGTGTGTTCTCTCCCTCTCCTCCCAGCCAAAGATCAGGGAAACAAAGTTTTCTTTTTAGCTCCCTCGACAAGAAGAAAAAAAAAAACAAAAGTCAGCTTTGACTGTTTCCTTTGTGCCATACAGCCACTAGTAAACCAGCGAAGCAGCCAACCCTCCCAGTCCATTTCCATCCTTCCGAGAGAGAAGAGATGGAGACAGGCTGTCATGGTTATCGCCAAAGCCCCATCGTCACTCTGTTCATCCGTAATACCCTCCCTGGTGGCACACTTCAGAGATTACAGAAGAAAGATGCCCTTTTTTGTACGTGCTTCTAATTGTATTTCCTGTAACCCACTGCTGCAGTGTAATTATGTGTAACCATTACTGTTGCGTGTTTTGATCTGTCTAATAAAAGACTGTTGTGCATTTTTTGGCCAGTTTTTCCTCCTTAGACTGAAAAGAAGAGGGAGAATAACAAAACTAAAGACTGTAAGGACTTCTATTAATGACGACTTTACTGTGGAATCACTTTATGTACAACCTCCTCACGACACATGTGATCATTAAGAATAGTACAACTAAATCTGAATCAAATGAATTATATATATCACACATGAGAAATAAATCAATTCCACAGCACATCCAAGTTAACATGTGGTCCTTTTGATACAATAAATATGGTGCACTATAAAAACAAAGTTGAAAAGGGATCTCCTGTTGTGCACAGCGTGATGATGTTAGAAATATTTTAGGTACCTTATGAATATCATGTATTTTAATCCAACCAATTCCTATAGTGTTGGTACAGAAGTTCTCATACGATCGATTAAATTTGGTGCAAAATGGTGTGATGTTCCTTTAAGGTGGACTTTTGCTTTATGAGTTGTGGCCTTGCTGCCATGCTGAGTACTTACAGTTACTGGCAGGGGAAGAGCACTGTAGACATCTTGGAACAAACAGCTGAGATTCATCGTAATGTTCAAACACAAGCCTCTGCTTTCTCAAGGTGATCATTTCTGGGGACATTTTAAATAACTCCCATTAATGCCAACCGCACAGCCTCCAAAGGGTCCATTGCTTTTGTGTCCTTGTACAGACTGTACAGACTGTCTGCCATCTCCCGTCTCGTGATCTCTTTCTTCCTCCTCAGCCCAGCACGCTGTCATTGAAGGCCAGACACACCACGGCCTTCTGGTGGCCGCTGTACTCCCTCTTGATCTCGCCGGTCTCCACGCACCACAGACGGGCCAGGTTGTCTGAGGAGGCTAATAGACGGAAACAAGATTCAGAACCTGAAATTCACCTTAAGGTATGTTTACGCTGAAGTTATCAGACCGCTACCTGCTTCTCTCTAAAAGACTATGTGACTAAATATACAGTTAAACATCATCATCATCATCATCATAGAAAAAAAACATCTTTGAGAAAACTTTCACAAACTGTTTCAAATCTTGCTCATAGGCATCTTCATCAATTAATAACTTTAAGGGCAGCAAATAAATATAAACAGCACTACAACTAAGTTCGCAAAATCTGTTATTTTGGCTCACAGCAAATACAAGCAGCAACTTTATTATTATACATAATTTATAACCTAATATTTCAGAAATGTTCCCACACATTTCCAGTACAACAAACATATATAAATTGATATATTAACTCCAAAACAGCAGGGCTTTTCTGACTGTGGGACCCTGGTGTTTATGTCTGTTTTGGCTCATGTACTGACCAGTGACAATATATTGGGAGTCTCCAGAGAAAGCACAGTCCCACATCCAGCCTCTAGACGTCTCTCCGGGGTTGTTGCTCTTGATACTGAGCTCAGTCATCAGTGAGAAATTGGACGTCCTCCAGATCTTACAGGTCTGGTCTGCTGAGCAGGTGGCCAACAGACTGGAGATGACGACAAACACAAAAACACTCTCTATCATCAGCAACAACATCAACTGACTTCCTTGTTAAGCCATAACAATTGCTAATCTATCACAGAATGCAAAGTGAAAATCAAGCATTTTCTAGCCACAATAACAGGTTTATAGAGTTAATAAGAAAGGCTTGTATTGTGTGTAGAGAAGGGCGCTCACGTAGAATCAGGACTAAACTTGCAGCGGAGGGAGTAGCGTTTGTGTGCAGGGATCTTAGTCTTGGGAATGAGCTGAGTCACCTCATCTCCGATGCCTCCGGCAAGGTTCCACACATAACAGTTTCCCTGTTAAAGGAGGACAAAGGGACCAATTTAATCATTTAATATAATTTAACAAGGTTCCTATAAACAGCACCCTTTTCAGACTGTTTGGGGGACTGACCGAGCTGTTGACCGCTGCCATGTAACTGGCATCAGGGTCGATGTGAACTGAGTTGACTGAGACCTCCGGCTCAGGAATCAGCTGCTCATTGTGGTCGGTCTTCAGATCCCAGATGTGGATCACTCCACTCTGGTCTCCAACAATCAGCTCCGCCTGAAAATCACACCACGCTGACTGTTTACCGACTTGTTTGGGCGGTTAGCACGTACTGTAATCGACTTATAACATTAAAAACAAACATATTCCCTAGATAATAAACAATCGTGCCAATTTATGAATCAGTGTACATTGTCTTACCTGGTTGGGATGCAGGCATACACAGTTGATTGGAGCATTGACCTGGAATATCCTCTGACACTGCAGATTTCTCGACCTGGGGGGGGGAGAAATCAAAGTTAGTGTTGTTGTACACAGAGTGAATGTGTTTTAGCTTGGCGAGCTCCCTTTGCAGTACCTAAGGTCCCATATGCGAGCCATGCAGTCTTCTCCTCCCGTGTACATCCAGCGTCCATCTTCATGGAAGCCCACAGACGTGATGTTCTTGCTGACGCCGTCATAGTTGATCACTGGGTTGGGGTTGTTGGAGTTCAGGTCGTACATGCGGATGTGCTGATAACCTGAAACAAAGAGGGCAAATTACTGAATTTAATTATGCAATCCAAGCTGCGATGGAACTGATGTAAGAAATGAGGAGAAAAAGTCGCAACCAACCTGCAGCTGCGATCATACTCCTGTCAGGTGTGACCTCCAGTGAATTTACCTGCTGGAAGAAGATGTTAAGGAAGTGGCCTGTTCAGGTTATCTATAATATTTTACAACTCGGTTATACCTAAAGACACACTGTAGTGATGATGCCATCTACAGACAAAGCATGGAGCTGCTCCTTTGACAGCATCCATGTTGATTTTATGGAGACACAAAACTCTTGACACTGTATACGGTCATATAGTCTCTGTCCCACTATTAATTCAGATACTTAAATGTGTGTTTCCAGCTAGGACAAACAGTGTGTCTGTGTTTGTGGGATCTGCCTGTCAGAGCACGCTGTTTGTTAGTCACAGTAAGGATACGGAGTCCTGGTGCTGGACGGTCCTGGTGCAGATCCCGCTGTGGGCCTGCCAGAAGCGGACAGTGTGGTCGTATCCCGCCGTGGCCAGAATGACCGGGTCGCTGCCCACCGTCCCCTGGTTCACATTCATGCTTGACTGCTGGCTGTCACTGTTCGCACCGAAGCATGTATGACACTGCAAAGATATACAGGGACAAGTCAGCTGCTTCTCTCTTTTCTGGCTGCTGTTTTCAGTCAGTTTAATAAACTGGTACGTGGTTTATTGTTATACTGTGGACATACAACAACAAACAACTTGTAGCCTGCATGCTAACGTTAGCAGAGCAGCCTAGCCACGCGTAAGGACTACACGACTCGGACAATTAGCGAACGTCTCTATTTCATAAGCTGTGACTGTAACAGTGTTTCACTGTACAACATTATTTATGCCAATTTCGACCACTTTACCGAAAAAATCTGGAAAGTTTTGGTTACCTTCAGTTGTTCGTGTTGACTATAATTCAGTACGTCTCCATAATGTGTCCCTTAACCACATACGACGACGGTTCAAAGGTTCCGTCTTGATAACCAGTACTTTACCGCCATCTACTGACTCATTTTATCACAGCAGGACAAGTGAACTACAGCTGTGTGACTACTTGTGTTTTTTTTTAATATCCTGTTGTACTGCTGTAACCAATAGAAGTACCAAAAAAGTCTCATCTCATCTTAATTTATAATACATCATAATTTATTTTTAGATTTAGATACTTTTATAATAAGAATTTGCAAAGTAACCAATAACAAGTTTAGTAAATATGTGTGTGCAATATTTGCCTTTGAAATGTAGTAAAGTAGAAGCAGAAAGAAGCATGAAATTAAATTGGAAGTGAAGGATTAGGTATTAAGTACAGTACTTGAGTAAATGTACTTACAAGAGAAATCTCCAGTAAAGAAACACAAAACAAAACAAATATTTTAATTTAGGGTGAAATTATTGGTATAAAATTGAATTCAGTCCATCAAAACTGATGTATCATCAAGGTGTGTGTTCTAATATGGATATTGAGATATATGACACATTACATGACACATAACTTACTGATATAGCTATTTATTTATTAAAAGTAGGCAACACAACAATACATTCTTTAATATATATATTTCAATAAATAAGTTAAATAAATAAATAAATAAATAATAATAATAATGCAGAGAATGTGTCTATTCACCAAACCCACATGTATAAATGACTATTATCCTTGTTAATAGATCAGTCAGAGCAGTACCACACAGCAGGTACAGCAGCCAACTGCAATATCATTGTGATCACAGCCGCTGCAGCAGGGCGGACATGTGCTGTTTCACCTCTCCTGGGTCAGCCAGTGAGCAGGCCAGGACCATCCCCCTGGCCCCAGTCCTCTTTAGAGTGGAAGGGAGTATCTACAACATATTATAACAGGTTTTAAATATAGAATTTGCTTTTATAGCTAACCCACACGGTGTATGGATGAAAAGCAGTACCTTCACATATATTTTGCATCTTTCCAAAAGAAATTTCCACTTCATTGCAGTCCTCTGGTCATCAGTCAAACTGGTAAATTCCTCTGTCTGCAAAAAACAACGTGCTAAATGTGTTGGAATTGCAACAACACAAATTCTAAAATCTGAAGACTTTCCAGACCCACACAAAATTTAAGCACTCTCCAGAACAGCTTGGTTAGAAACATAATACAGTGGTGAAGTGTTTTCATAATGTTTTAAAAAATGTATCCGTATTCATCTCTCCTTTTTTAAGTTCTTTAATCCCCACACAGGGAGGGGTGACTACATGCAGAACTGAGGCTGAATAATCATTTTTCTGTGCAGTGGTGCTAACCGTGCAGCCGAGTATGTTTTCTGCCACTGGGCTCCTGAGGGTGCAGGTATGCAGGGTGCCGGTGTGGTCCGTGAAGTCCACCAGCAGATCAAAGCCTGTGGTGCCTGAAAAGGCCTGATCCCGCCCTGGACACAGCTGGTTGGTACAGCTCTGTGTGTCCTCAGTCGCCTGAAACTTACACCTGGAGCTGAGACAGGAGAGAGAACACACTGAGCAACTAATGTTTACTGAACTACTTTATATTGTTCAGCATATTCCAATGATTGATGTAGAATATCTGAGTTGTCATGAATGAATCCCCTCTGTGCACTTGTGTGAACTCACCACCGTGTCCTGATAACCTTTGAAACAGAAGAGTCGAGGTCGAGCTTGGAGATGAAGCTGTATGTGATGCCGAAGAAAGCCTCTGGACTCTCCTGGGCCTTCTGCTTCAGCTGGCTCACTGTGTACACGTCAGTGATAGAATCCACTGCAGAGACAGAAACAGCAGCACACGTTCATGCCTGCAGTCTTTTCCTCTGAAAAAGAGGCAACCCCACAGGCTGCACTGGTCCCTTTGTGACCTGATAATATACTACATATCTTTTTTATTGTCAACCAGTCCAGTGAAAAACCAAAATGACAGTGTTAGTCCCTCTATAAATACTTACTGACTTCCACAAGTCAAATGGCTCTCATAATGAACAAATGATTTTCAGCCCCAAGCCCCATATGGTCCTAGTGAGGACATAAATCATTAAAAATGACTCACAAAGATATAGTTTAATTAAAGAGTTGGTCATTTCCAATGACGGGATACTATAGTTTTTAACACTACTTTAACAGGAGTAAATAGTGTGTGTTGGGGACTTTCAGCCATAGATTATACTCTCTATAAACTATATAAATAAAGTATCAAAATAGATATAGAATAAAGGAAATTCTTCACTATAACCTACCACTCACATCTTCTGGCTTCTCATCTTGGTCCAGAATCCCGGACTCAGATACTTCTTTAGCGTAGCTGAACAGCAGGCTGGCCTCTCTGGTGTCTGAGAGCAAGTTATGATTCACTGACAATATTCTACTTGCACAGCAGGATGATTGTTTTTTCTTACACTGCACACCAATGCTGGTGAGTTGGCTTCAGCCTTATTTTGGATTAACTGCACAATAGATATTTATGTCCGTTCCTATGTTTCTGTAAATACTGCTGTGATATCTTACCAGGATTGACAGTGATAATGGTTTTCGAGTTAACGGTTGCTGCCATGCCGTTGCGAAAGCTGTCAAAGCTAATCTTTGCATCAGCTATGAAGAGCACTTTGAATGAAGAATGAAAGTTAAAAACAACAGTAAGTTATCTTAAACATAAATACACAGTTACATCTCAGATATCCACTTTTATGCTTCTCTTCAGTGCAGTATGTTAATGGGACCTGACAGGCGGGAATAACAGTTAAATAAAGATTCATTTTGTGGCTGAGAATGAGCAGCAGCTGTTAACCTACCCGCCTCCTTGGGTATCAAAGTTTGCACGAGCTGAATGGCCTCTCTGTCCCAGCTGTGAGTGAAACAGAGGTCAGGGAGTTACCCACAGGAGAGCACAGTGAAAATCAAACACACATGAAGTTCAGCAAGTTAATCTAAAGCTGCATGTCACCAAAGTAAATTTGCGGTAACTTAAAGATACACGGCGGGGAACCAAGGGTCCAGTGAGATGGAATATGGCACAAAGGCATCACAAGTTATAACTCTTTATTCATTTTCCAAATTAATGAACGAGCATGACACACCACACGAGAGGGAAGGACGAGACCGAGTCATCAAAGAGCTTCACTTCCAGCCTCTGCCCTTTGCGTCCGTCTGAAGTGGTAAACTGCTTCAGCTCTCCAATCTGCAAAATGTAAACAGAATCATCTGAAGTTCCTATCACAATATCTTCCCTTCCTGTAAGGAGTGCAGTGACATTAAGAGCAGGGTCTGGCCTCTCTCTGAACTCTGAGGGATGTCTTTGGGCCATTATGGTAAGTTGGTATGTTCCAGGCAAACAACAAGCATACCACCATGTAACCACACAGGCAAACCAGACACAGTGTAGTCTATTATGCAATTTATACAATAAGTAAGTAAACTTAGAAAACTTTGATATGCTTGATTTCCAAACTTGATAAAACAAGAAATATTTGCTCAGCATCCATACTTATTGTCAAAAACGTCCTACTTCATGCTTATCAGGCGTCCCAACGCGGCCTCAGTGACAGGTTCCATGACTTTTCCATGACTTACTTTTCATAATGTTACATCGGACCACTTTTTAACAACCCTTCCCTTCTTGTTAATGTTATTTTGAAGCTCAGGAAACTTTAACAACCTATTTTCCACCATAGTTGAGCTTACTGTGGAGAAAAAGACAGCTGAAAAACCACCATCTAATGCAATCAGTGTGTGAAGAAGTTGGAAAATACATTTTGGTTTCTCAATGAGTTTATCAATTTTCCTCACATTCCCTGTTGAAAAACACCCTTTGAAAATCAATATGGCCCCCCGAGATCTTCTCAGCAGGATTCAAACCGATTTGTAAGACTCATCACATCAATCATATAAACATAGTACAAATTTGAAAAAAGGAGGATTTAAAAATATGAAGTAATAAAATGGCCCCAAGCTCACATGGTCTTAAAGGAAACATCAACCCTAAAACATAAGGCAACTATAAGACATATTCTTCTCAGCCAAACACAAACAAAGCTGTACCATGACTTTGAATATTTTCTTCACAATTCAAGTCCTTGTCAGGCACAAAGTGCTGGCACCAGTATCGTGCATTTCAGTTTAACAATCAGACCAAGCAATCACAGCAGAGAGGATGCCTGTTTCTCCACTGAGATTGGCTTTAATGGAAAGCAGTCCAATGTTGTAATAAATGGTAAATGGACCTGTA